ATCATGAATTTTTCTTTTTGCATGTAAACATTCTTTTACATTTTTTCTTCTTCTCGGTACACAGTAAATATGTTACTTTTAACAATTGGACGTAATTGTGGACATTCCGAAACTTTTCATTCTATCACATTCTATATATGAATGAAATATACAAGAGATGAAATATAATCGAGAAATGCTAGTTTTGTGGGCTGTTTATGCTCTACGTAGGAACATTTCACATATGAATGTAGTTAGCTAAAAAGAAGTAAAAGTTATCTTTATAAAAAGAAAATGCATAGAAGCCCAAATGAAGGTGGTGGAAATTGCTATCCCAGTGTAAGATGATCAATAGGATTACAAAAAGTGGTTCTTTCATCGAGTTGGGTTTTGTGTCAAAGAAGATGAACACAATAGTACGAAGGAAAAGAAATGAACTCACTTTTAGATAGGCTTTTTAGCCCAAAGATAAGATGAAAATTAAAGTCCATTCCTCACTGTTGTTTACTTTCCAATTTCAGCTTTTCCTTAATACTTTTTACACACCAAAGATAATGTGAACAAAAACCAATGGGTTTAATTTTCACATGTCACAATAAAGAGTTTTACCTACCCATTAATTAAAGAAATATTTTAGATATGACTTCTAAGATAGTTATCAAATAATTATTACATGTAATAATTAAAATATTATTTATAAATAATATTTATACATGTTGGAGTCTAAGTTTTCACAGTTTTATTTTTGAATATCACTCAAAATGTCTCTAGTCAATAGAGACAGTTGTGTGTATATAAACATATATCTATACTCTTATTTGAACGATATGAGACTTTACTTGTATTCCAACACATTTGATATAAATGATTGAGATATGAGTATTTTTCATTTAACTTTAGATGTCATTAACTAATGGTAGACCAATGTTGCTTAAATTTAAAAATATACAAACTAAATGTGCATTAAAAAGTCTAAAGAAACCAAAATTCCATATCCACGAAATTATGGAGATGAAAAATAAACTTAAGCCTTTAAAACAAATAATCTATAAGATTGATATATGCTATTTATAACTTATTTTGATTTTAAAAAATTGGTTGGAGTTAATGAAAAACAAAATCCTTTCATAAGTTTCTTGTTCAAATTTTTTAATATAAATTTGTGTAAGTGATAACAATTTGTTAAATAAGAATTTAATTAATTTATTTACTGAAATAATTTATTTGTGTAATTTATCAAATAACCTCTTATCATATATGATGTGTGTTTCATAATTTTTTGGAAGTTTATTATTGTCAACATTTTAATTACAGTCTAAGATGCATATAAATCAGTAGAAGTTGGATTCTTATCTTTCAAATTATTGTTGGATGAAAGATGAACTTTATCCTAGTTGGGTCAGTCTTCGGTTATAATTTGTGGAAGGGATTGAACAATTTATTAGTCATGTAAGGAAACAAACTTTTGTTAACAGGAGGGATCAAACATCCATGTTAAATGCAAGAATACACTGGTTTGTATGTTGATGAAAATGTCGGGATTCATTTGCATACGTATAGGTTCATGTCCTGTTGAGAAAATTGATTTTTACGGTAATAAAGGCACATGGTCAAAATAGAGAATTAACTAGCTTCGTGTTTTTATCAAGAAATAAGGTACTTTTCTTGTAAAATTGAGTTAGACAAGCATAAACAAGCGGTAAAATCATTGTTTTACTTATCAATAATATCTTGATTGCATAGATTATTTGCAATGCCTCAAATGATAATATAAATTATATTCTTTTATGAAACCAAAATTATGATATCCACCCATTTGACCACAAGACTTGGAAGTATTTTAATAAAGCGCACTCTAATTTTGCTATTAACCTATACAATGTACTTCTTAAAGTTTGCTTTAATAACTAGCTTGAGTTGATACGAGTGGTAAGAGACTCGCATTGTTTAATCAAGTGGTAAGAATTCGAATTCTAATTCTTGTAATGCAGAACATTCAAACATTCAAACTGTGATAGAATGCTCATCTATTTAGTGTCTGTCAAACTCTCAAAGGATATTATTTTCGTATTCGACAGGGAATACTCCTTGGTAATGAGCAAAAAAAATTGTACTTTAATGTACACTATGCATTCAAGCATCGTCTTTACCTTACTTTTTGTTGGCTAGTCAATATGATGCATACAATTTTCCTTATATATCACTAGAATTCATATCTTAAGTTGAAAGGAAAAGAGAGAAAATGAAAGGAAAACAAGATGAGTTGAAAAATACAATTTATTAAGAATGAACTATATGTTTACAATATAATTGTGAGTCTTTATATAGGTCAACTAATGATTACAAACTACATATCTAATTGCCCCTACAAGTTGGAAGGTGTTTACAACACTTGCATATTGTGATCAAGAATACAAGTGAATGTTTAATCAAAACAAATATAATGAAAAAAAGTCATAAATAAAATGACCGAGAATTACATGAACAATGTTTAACTACCATACAAGGAAAGAACTAAATCATCAAAGTCATAAGGCAAAAGTTTAATCATTAAACAAAAGTCTTAACACAAAGCTTATCCACTTACAAAAAGTAAACATGTTTAACCACCTAAGAGGTAGAAACAAAACAATGATAAATGTTTAACTACGGTAAGGAATAAGTAACAAAGATTAACCATCAAAAGTAGAAGTTAAACATAATGCTTAATCACTTAAAGCTAGAAGCAAAACAAATCAATGCTTAGCCATCTTATACGACAGAAGCTAATAGTTAAGCCAAAACAGGCTAAACAATAATGAAAACATTAAATGAGTTAATCATTGAACACTTGGTGCGAATGAGAAACAATTATCAAGAAGAGAACCATGGAAAACAAGTAGAACCTCTAAACAAAATCCTTATCTACCAAGAATGAAAGAAATAAACTCAATTCAAAAATAATGCTTCAAGAAAATCATAAAGGTTTGTGGAAATAGCAAATATGGTCTCAGACAATGCTCCATATATATAATTGTCACAAGCAAAGAAGAGAGCCAAGAACCCTCTAACCACAACCAAAGAAACATAAAGGAAATTGCACCAAGTTAAAGTGAATTGACTGAGTAATGGTGGCCTCAGTGACTCAAATAATGGTGGTAGTGAACGAGTCGAACATGAAGGGTTATTGACACTCTTCCATCAGAAACAAAGGGATTTTGAATGGATCATCCAAAAGATCATTTGCAACGTTTCAACCTTTTTTTCTTTGTATATTCAAGTCTTAAGTTTGATAACATGAACTAAGAGTGTAATCAAGTACAAGTAACTCGTGAATCCGAATTGACTTAATGAATTTGAATCAAATTTCTCATTGTTTGAGTCAGACACACTCAATCAAGAAAGAATGAGTGAATGAATAAGATAATTTTTAAAATAAAACTTAAAATAGTAGGAAATTAATGAGAAGGAGATTTTAAGATTTTTTTTTAAAAAAAATAAAGGGATAAGAGGTGTATTTATAAAAAATAATAATCACTTATATTATAAGTACTTAAAATTCAAAAAATTGTTATAAGAACTTAAGTGTTTGAATATATTATTATTTAAATACTTAAAAGATTACCGAAATCAGTCCCATAAAAAAATTGAATCTTTCACTTCTTCGCTTTCTAGATGCAATTGAAATGTCACCAACGAAGGGAAAACGAAAACAAATAAAGAAGAAAGAATGCAGAAAAAAAAAATCTTCAATTTCAATGAACAAAAGTTTGATTTTCTCAAAAAAAAATATTAACAAATTGGAAAAGGAAAGACAGAAAATGAAAGAAGCAACGAAAATTCTAGGGTGGGTGGTATCGCTACGATACCATGTTAAATTCATGGTTCAAAAGAGAGAAAAATAAGAGAATGAATATGTTTACCATATAATTGCAAGAGGTTTTATATAAGCCAACTAATAATTACAATCAACATCTCTAATATATAGTGTATGACACAGTCATATGTTTTTAACTTGTCATATTTTAGGCTCATCTAACACCACGAATTTACAATCTTTAATTGATCTCCTCCAAATATCTTCTGACTTATCTATTGCACTTCATCAGGAGACATTTACTTTGGGTCTCAATTTCCTTAAGAAATAGTTGACTTGTAGACCATAGCATATCACATCTTCCACTCTCTGATTTATTTGTCCCTCTGTATGGCCTAACTGGCTTTTATATTAATTAAAATAGCAACTAGTATAAACCATTATAACCGACTCTGAACTGTCTCAAGCTTGTCTCTGGCCCCCACTCTTTTTTCTACAAGATCATCCTTTTTAAGAAAGCAGTAGGGACATTTGGCAAGGGTCCAAGGAGACATTCAGTCAAGTCCAATCGACAAAGCAATAAATGGAAATTAATACTAATAGTTGCTTCCGTAATAGCTAAGAATCCCGTGTCATGTACATACATAACCTCACTACGAAGACAAAGCACATCCTATTACTGTTGCAACAAGAGAAAAAGCGAGCATGAATCCACTTGGATTAAATTCTAGTTTAATTGAACCAATTGATAGTTTTTGACACAGTGCATCTTCATTCCATGGTGGAGTTGCTTTGTTTACTCACTGGACTGCTCATCTAAAAGCTTTACACTTGTAGATATGATGCTTCAACGAAGATAAGGAAGCTTTTTCTGTCAAAAGTCGCAATGCAGAAACCAATAGCAAATCCTAGATACCATTACAGATAATAAAACCATAACATATCCACACATGATTCATCTAACCTGCCATTTTTTAATCACAAATGGGACACAGTATTGCAAACATTTTAATCACTACTAACATACTATTATCTATCAGACACAGAACTTTTAATTACTTTTTCTACTTTTAGTTGTTATCACCAAGTGGATTGATTAGCTAAAAAAGAAAAAGGTTTTAATTATCCCGGGTACTTTTAATCTTCACTTTAGATGTGAATCACTGCATATTTATTTGAGCCGTCGTGGATGAGAATAGTGCTGTCTAATGAAGATGTGACCCTGACCCCAACAAAATAATATATTACGCAATGATAGCATGCAATCGGTTAGTGTCTGTATTAGGACAATTCCTGCCTTGGAATAGATTTGAACTTTGTCTTACAAGAGTCAATCAACAATAGAAAGCGGCCCCAGAAGAATATATGAAAGAAAGTTCAAAGGGTTATTCTGATTAAGAGTGGATAGCTGTGACCTTTCTCATAACTGGGCCAAGAGTTCCTATCTTCATTCAAGAATCCCTCGTGGCGTTTCCAGACTTCTCTATCATAGTTCTCCGTTACACTGAAATGCAAACCATTTTCCTTAACCACCTCCAAGAACAGGTTGAGTGAGTTGCCTCTTTTTGGACTTAAAAATATAGCCTCAGAAGATCCTGCTTTTGATAATAAATGTTTGACTATACAAGCAAGGTTTCTGTGGAAATCTTTAAAGAAAGTGCTGTCAAAATGACAAAATCAATGTCGTGAGTAAAAAGATAAGACTGGCATAAAGACCAAAACAAAAGGCAACTCAAGCTGCTTGCTTGTGAATCTGCTGATGCATCATTTCGTACAAGATATAACTGCCTTTAGCCCACTTGAGAATAAATATAGGTATCTGAACATATATATCTGACTTTAAAAAATGAAACCGATAAAAAGTTCACAAAAGAAAACAAAGAAAAGTAACACCATTTGCCACCGACATGAATGCAAAAAATTGTTTATTATATTATGAGTTATTGATAGGAGTAACTCTTAGAATAACTTAATCTCCCCCACCCCCATACATATAACTAATTTATTCTAGTATATAAAGGAGATACTCCTTTTAGTAATTACCTTTATTCTCTACATTTGATAAACTATTATACCCTTCTATTATTAAAAAAAGATTAAAAAAATTGTAACTACCATTCTCTTTTAATAATTACCCACTCTACTATCTTTTTTTTAAAATAAATATTAAGAGGCAAAAGTGTCTCTTAAATTTTTCAATAATAAAATAAAAATTAATTAAGAAATTAATCCTAACCATTCAAATAAGTTAACCACCTCTAACGGTAACATTGTAAGTTATGATAGTCTTATATTACATCTAGTTGTTTTATGTTGTTAAGTTGAGTTATTAGTATTGAGAGGCTTAGGGATCTGAGGATCCCTTAAGAGCTTATGTGGTGTAGAGAGGGAATTCCCTAGGTAGAGATCTAGTTCTACCTCGAAAGGAGGAGTATATAAGATTTCTATTTTGAATACAGTCTCATAAATTTCTTTCCTTAGCTTTCTAGAGAGAGGATTCTAGAGAGAAGGTCTTTGGTCACTGAACTCTTCTCTCAGTATTCTTCTTTCTCTCAATCTTCTTCTCTTCTTCCCAATCCTTTTCTAAGTTGCGTTGTTGTGATTCAGGTGGTTGTAACCTTGAATCCAGTAGTTGATTTAGTGCGGAGCCCCAATCGTTCTTCTCTTCTACCTCAGACTCGAGCTACCATGAGGTCATGGAAGCTAAATTTCTATTTTCCTTGATGTATGATGGAGTTGTTGGGGGATGTTGATACTGGTCATTGTTTGGATTTTGAATTACCATGGCTGAGTTGATTGAATTTGGTGGAGAAATGTGTGAAGGTTGGGGTTGAATTGCATGTGGAAGAATATGATGATTTGATTTATGTTGAGGTTGCATGTTGCTATTTGTGCAAAAAATGAGTTGTTTGTGTTGAGTAGAGACATTATTCATGGTTACATGTGTTGGATTTCTTCTGAATTTTAGGTTGTGGCTCAAAATCAGGTTTTGCAAATGCAACATTATGATATTGCGTCGAACACGCCTTCCAGGCATCGAGCGTTGTTCTAGCTTGACGCTCTTTGTCTCGATCATGCCAAACACAGAATTGGTGGTGTCGAGCATAAGGAGAGAGACTCGTCTCGAATTGGAATGGCATCAGATGTGGTTGAATGGCATTGGTGTAGGAACCTTGAGTGTTCTCTGACTTGGTGGCATCGAATCTAGAGTTGAGTGACACCTAGCATAGCCAAGCCAGCGCTCTCTGGATTTTGTCAAGGGTCGAGATGGTGATGCCAAGCGAGACTCAGGCAGCGACTATTTGCCTGAGGTGGGACCAAGCATGGTAGTTTACCATGCTAAGCATGAGATCTCAAGGGCCTCTGCTATAGCCACACCAAGCACGGGTTGTGTAGTGCCAGACATGGATGTGGCAGAGAACTCCTTGCCTAGATGGAGTCGAGCGTAAAGTGAGTAGCGTCGAGCTCTAATTGCTGAAGAAAAACACGAAGATGTAGTTGATGAAGTATTGATTTCTTGTGAATTTAAGTTGTTAAATGAAAATATGATGAATGAGTTGCAGAGATGTAGTATGTAATGATTGTGTTATGAGTCATTAGTTGAGAAGTAAATGAGTTGTAAGTTATGTGTTGACAGGGTTGTATGTTGACTGTGTAGTTGTGTTTAATATATAATGTGTTGTTGAGTTGTATGTTGATTTTGATGTTGTGTTGAATATATAAAGTTATGTTGTTGTTGAGATATGTTGACCACCTAGGACTAGAGGGAAAGTTTTCGAAAGTAGAATATTCCATTGTGTGAATATTGTGTAGTTGTGCTTTGAGAGCCCAATTTGTTGAAAATCCTTCTTGGGAAGTTAACCCTTGAAGTGGATAACTGTATTGTTTCTCCTCTAGGACTTTGTTGATACCGTGTATGGACAAGGTTGAGACACATGTGTATGATGCGACCATAGTATAGGGGCTAGGCCGAGTTATACTAATTACAAGTAACTAACCGAGTAAAGTACGAAGTCGAAAACTTAGTTCCTAACTGAGTATCGAAAAGGTGTAGTATTTGGAGGGTAATCGATGGGCTAATCCCACAGGTGACTTAGTTAAGCTAACTAATGTCGTGGTAAGCCCATACCCAATTGTTCTACCTTGATAGTAGTACTATACTTCCTTGTTTAAGTGACGACATCCGAGAAACCGAGTCGCTGTGTTATGGATTTATATCTAATTTGTTATTGATCAAGCAAACCCAAAAATAATGGAGGCCCATGGGCCAAAGGCCCAACTACTAGGGCTATGGCCAAGAGGATACATGAAGAATGGGCCCATGCTCAAGAGAAGCCCATAGTACTTTTCAGTTGGGCTTTGACTCAAGCCCAAGTAGATTAGGTTATAGTATAGGTTTGGGCCTTTGGGCGTGTATTGTATTTTTTTTTTGGCCTTGTATTTCGGCCACCTAGGTTAGGAATTTCATTTCATTTCCATGTGAATTTAGGGTTAATCTAGGTTAGCATGTCCATGTTCATTTGCATGTAATTAGTATTCCATTTAGTATGCATTTCGACCATGTGCACACATGCACATGGTGTGACCGAAATGATGCTTAAATGAATACCAAATTACATCCAAATGGGAGGCGCACATGGTGGTGACCAGATTTGGCACCAAAATTTGAATTTAAACATTTAAATTTTGGCACCTAAGGTTAGTTAAACCATGGTATGGTTTAACTTAACCTTGGGTCAAGCCAAACTTGTTCACTACAATACTTTCCCTATAAATTCACCTTGGCCGGATTGTGTCACCACTTTTGGATATTATATGAGAATTTTCTTCTTGTGCAAATTCTCCACCAAAAGTCACTCTAAGATCCTCTCTCCTTCTCTACTTGAGCTTCTCTCTTTGTAGAGTTAGGATCACCAATCTTCTAACCGGAATTGGAAGGTTAACCTTGGCTAAACTTGCTCCTCTTCATAGTCTTCATCTCCTTGCATCAACCACAAGGAACTGAGGAGGAGTTTTTGAGGCATCAATGGAGTTTTCTCATTTGAAGGCTCCATCAAGTGGTATCTAGAGCTAGTTCATCAAGAGATAAGTCTTTCATCTTTTGGTGATTGGTTGTGTTTTGATCCGTTTAAATTGTGTCATTCTTGTCTTGTTTGAGTTTCCTTTTCCTAGATCTAATTTCTTGTGATAAATTGAGAGATCTAATTTCGGTTGCTTCAATGATTCATAAAATGCTTTTTGATCTTGTTGCTATCCTATGAATCATGCTCTAAAAATGTGCCTTAGGAATTCAGCTTTGGTGCTTTTTATTTCTGAGTCTTGATTAAAATTTTCGGTCATATGTTTGTTTGAGTCTTTTAATTTTTAAATCTATATGTCTAGTGTCATGTGTAGTCCTTTGTATGTTCTAATTTCCTAGCTATGCTTGTTTTACTATTTTGTGTCAATTGATTTGAGTTTGTGGACTTGGCCGAATCCATTTTATTTTAGTGGTGCTTCATAATTTTTTGATTTTCATTTGAGTTCATGAATTACTATTAGTTCATTAGTAGTTCTCTTAGATTTAAGTTTTCTATGAGTCAACTTGTCTCCTAAATTTTCTTGTGAGCAATCCGTGATTGAAAATATAAACTAGTTGCTGGAAATTGGCTGGACAATTTGAATTCAAAAAAAAATTTGAGAGGGAAAACCGTGACATGTGAAGTGAGAAAAACAAGTGAGAAAAGCATGTGCTAGTGCATTGCATTTGAATCTAATCTACTTCTCATTTGTTTTCAAATTTTAAACCGGTTTTGGTGCAATTTTTTGAAAGTGACCGAGAGCTTGTTGACTTCAAAACTCAAAAGAGAAAAGGCATCTCCTATATTTAAAAAAAAAATCAAATCAAAAATCAAAAGAAAATTCAAAAAGAACTTTGTTTAAAAAAAATATACATACCTAATTTCAAGTAAAAGCCAAAAGGAGATTGAATTGTATGCTTATGCTTTTCGGTTTACATGTGTAGCATGAAGTGTGTGATATGATTTTCAGCTTTACTCCTTGAGATCATTTTTTTGATTTGTCATTCTAAATCTAGAACCTATCTAGGAGCATTCTTTCTTGATCTAGCCTTATTGTCTTCATTGTTCATCTAACTCTCCAACTCTATTCTTTGTCTTTGAGTCACTAAAAATGTCTTGATTGTTTGTGCTTGAAATTGGACTCTAAGTGTGGCCTAGTGTTGATCTAACACATTTCTTTAGAAGCTAGTTCCACAAGGGTCATCAAAAGAGAACTAAGAAAGAGTTGAGGAAAGGTGACAAGTGGAGGAGGCTTTCGGTTGGCTACCAAACAAAATCATCAAACACTTCAAACACCTGGAAATTTTTGACTGCTGCACCTCCTTCAAAGCTGTGGAGTTCAACTTGGAAGAGACTTCAAATTGTGTTGTTTTAAAAATAAAAAATAAAAAAAAATAGGGCAGTAGAGATGGAATTAGAGATGGAATTTCCGTCACTAAATTGTTTTTCCTTGCAAAATTGGTCTCTAATTCCATCACTAGTTTCGATGGCTGTTTTGTTTTAATTGATAAGGCACTTTGATTTATTTTCTGTTTTTGCATTTGTTCTTTTATTGTAATTGGCCATTTGGAGTGTCTTGGAAGTGTCTTTGGTACACAAC